AGGGAAGGAGAGGAGGGTGGAAGGGAGAGAAAGAGAAAGGGAGAGGGTAGGAAGGGGAAGAGGAAGAGTAGGAGTAGGGGAGAGGTAAGGGAAGAAGGAAGGGGAAGAAGAGGAGTAAGGAAGTAGAGAAGGGAGGGAGAAAAGAAAGGGGAAATAAGGTGGTGCTAAAACAGGCAGATGGGATGGTAAATAAAGCAACCCAAATTGTATATTATAACCTTTTAAATGGAATAATGAATGTACAAGAATGACAAATGTAAAGAAGAAGAACTATGTGAATGTATACCTATAATTGTATGTAAGAGAATAAAAAACTTTTTTTTAAAAAAAAGAAACACTTCCTGACAAGAGCTTCCTTTAAAAATAAAAAAACACAATGAAATCGAGTTTGACACCCCTGCTGTAGGTGGTAGTTTCCACTGCAGCGGAACCACAGTAAGCACCAGTTCCACTGACATCCTGTAGAACTCAACGTCAAACAGGTACCTTCCCTGCCATCTAAGTGCCTGCCTTGAAGATGACGAGGCCCTAGGTTGCCATGCTGACCGTCTTTGGAAATGCTCAAGAATGGAGCTTTTTCCTCTACTGGCTCTCTATTTTCCTGGTCACTTGTCAGAGGCCTGAAGCAGCATTTCCAATTTATCAAATGGGCTCCTCCATCACGGACCCCTCCATCCTCAGGTTTTCCACCACCACCACCACCTTCATCTTCAAACCATGCACTATCTCCAGCAGGCTCAGTTCCTGAGCCTGTCTCTGACCCTAGTTTCATGGAGATCCACCTTATTAGACTTTCTTGTGCAACATCTTCAAGAATTGAAAATAGAAACTGACACCTTGATCCTGGATTGCCCATGACCTTCAGTCTGGCATTCTTAGTCTGCATCAATGTGCTGACCTTCTGCAAGAATATGCCCATATATTCCATTTATAGTCCAAGAGCATCAGCCAATAGCGGAGCAACAAATCCCTACACAGAATGAATTATGCCATCATCTAACGCCTTATAAGCTCGAGAAAGAATAAGTTGCTTCTACCATGCTATCCAGATGTTTGAAGAATGTGTATCACAGCCCCTTTCTATTCCACCAGAGATGAACAACTGCCTGTCATCAGTCTTTGAGACTCCCAGCACAATCGACAGTGCACAACCTGTGCACCCATTTGCAATGTTGTGGTCCTTTCAGGATCAAAAGTCACTTTGGCTTTGTGGGACATAAGTTCTAGTGCACATTTAAGGATCCAGCAAATGTCATATGTACTCAGTGTCTGTAATGTTTCAAACAAAAAAAAATCTCATTGTCTTTGTATTCAAGAGAGCATCAGCAAACACTAATCAATTTATAGATTTTTAAAAGCTCACTTCAAACAACAGATTCTAAATGACATAATGACCAGCCTTTCTCTCTTCTTCACTGAAAAACGTCAGCCAAAGTGGTACAATTTGCTTATATAGAATTCATTTGTATTTGGTCCGTTACTTGATAACTACATGGAATTGATTATGTCTGCTATGGACACAAGATGCGTCTTACAGTTCTGTAAGAATATTCTAGGTAACAGAAATGGAACAATAAGTCATTCAACAAATCTCTTTCAGAGTTCTGTCAACTTATTTTCAAATCTATATAAACGACAGGACACTCAAGATCAAAATATGGAAGTTAATAAATAGGTTTACAAAACAATATAACAATTCAGATAAAGAAAAATGCATCTAATGGTTCGTTGTGTCTGGCATCATATTCAAAAGCTAGCTAGATGCTTCAAAGTTTCTTTCTTGGTCTACTGCTGATAAAGTGCATATGCATATATATTTTTTCATATACAGTAGTCGTCCTTGACTTACAACTTCTATTGGGCTGAGAATTCTGGCCGTTAAGTCATTGCAGTCATTAAACGAGATGCCCAGGCTTGCTCAATGGCCACAATCCCAGACCTCCAAGTGCAGCGGCTAAGTGACAGCATGGGTCATTAAGTGGATGGATCAAAACTGTTGCCTGTCATTTTGCCAGTCATATTCCAAAAATCTGAGCTTCATTTCTCTGGCCCACTTCAGACTTCCTCTCCCCTCTGTGTGTGGAAGGAAACCATCCTGCTGGGCTAGAGAAAGGAAGCTGGGGTCTCCAAAGATCCGAGCGTTCTTCCTCTTCCCCAGCACGACTGCTCTCCTCCCCTGTGTGTTAGCTCTCTACTCTTCAGATACATTGCATTTGCTAGCTTTCTGGTTAGGAAGGTACCGTGTTTCCCTGAAAATAAGACAGGGTCTTATTTTCTTTTGACCCCCCAAAATAAGCATTTGGCCTTATTTTCGGGAAAGTCTTATTATTTTTGAGGTGCAAGGGACAGCCAGCATGGTCACCTCATGGCTGTTGCTGTGTTGCAATATTTTGGGGGAGGGCTCATTTTAGCGCAAGCGCTCAAAAGTCCAATTGGGCTTATTATATGGGGAGGTCTTATTTTTGGGGAAACAGGCAAATGTGATTTTTTTTCTGAATAATAGAAAGGCTGGAAAAAATAGAGAAACAGAAAGCTAATAACATGATGTTTCTGAGTGGTGAAGAGAGTCTCTGCTAGCATTTAGAACAATTGTGTGTGTGTGTAGAGGGGGGGACCGACCAGCTCTTGTGATGTTTCCAAAGGCAAGAAAGGTCAGAAAGAGCCTTTTTTACTGTTTTACGGAAACATTGTGTTTTCTGGTTTTTCTGGTTGGAAAGCTACGAACCCAACGTTTCTGAAGTAGGTAGAAAGGTTAGAAAGAGGATCGGATATTCAGAATGCAAGCTTCTTTTCTCCGCTCCAGTGTTGGAGTTCCCTACTGCATGGGTGTGTGTGTGTGTGAGGTGTGCTAGGCTGGAGAAAATCTCGAAGGTCTTTGTTTCTCCAGCCCCATGCAGAATGTCCCCTCCACCTCCAGGAGAGGAGGGGGATCCCTTTTGCAGGCGACAGAGGCCTGGTGACTTCTGCACTAAGTTTCTGGGGAAACCGGGAAGAGAAGATTGCAAATAGCAATAGCAATAGCATTTAGACTTATATACCGCTTTACAGTGCTTTTACAGCCCTTTCTAAGTGGTTTACAGAGTCAGCCTATTGCCCCCAACAATTTGGGTCCTCATTTTACCCACCTTGGAAGGATGGAAGGCTGAGTCAACCTTGAGCCTGGTGAGATTCAAAATGCCAAATGCAGCTGGCAGTCAGCATTCTAACCACTAACCACTGCGTCGCCCCAGCTGACAATCACGATCTCAGGACACTTAGCAATCTGTCGTAAGTGCAAACGAGTCGCCAACTGTCTGCCCGAAATGCCATCACGGGACTGCAGGGACAGTGTGGAAGTATTAACTTCAAGGATGCGTAGTATGTAATTTTGCTTAATAACTCTGAACTGTCCTCAAGTGATGAGTTGTAACTTGAGGACTTAAGTGTATGTCTTTTCTGATTATTCTGATTAATGGCAAGAATTTTATAACAGCTTCTGATAAAGCATGAGAAGGAACAAGGGTATTTTTAGTCTTCCCCCAGCGAAGATGTCACAGAGGACAGAGCATTCTCTACAACCAGTGCAAGAAAAATGCAGACTAGCTGATCTGACCAGCAATGGTCTCAAGTACTGGAGTATTTCACCTAGTGGCACTGCTTGCATAAACTGTTTGTATTTTACTATTATCTTGTGCTAGAGATGTGTTTTCAATATGGACTTCTATATATATGTATTGCTGTGCTTTGGGCGAGATGGAGGGGCTATCTAAATTGAATAAATAAATCTTGTACAAACAGAAGATAATCAGGGACACAAATATCCTATGAATAATATACTTATCCATGTAAACTATTAAAGTAACAATAATACTATGATAAATACTATGATAAGCATCAAGTAGCATGAAGACTGAAAAAAATAAAATTGCAGTAATTAATAAAACTGTTCAACACACATACTCTTGCTGCCTCTAACAGATGCTTGTCCCTTGCATTCACTTAGCTACATGTAACCAAGACCCTCATATTCAACATATCAGTTCATGCATTGGTATCCCACAAAAGTATTTAACCGTGCCTGATTTATCAAAACATTTAAATACTTCCCAACCATCAAATAAGTGAATCAATCTTAATTTAAGCTATATCATAGTTTCAAAACATGGATTTATACTATTCAAGTGGCTAGCAAGCTTTAAAAGAGTCCTTTCAAGAGACACACACACACACACAAAATTCCCTAAAAGGACAAGAAAACCAGTGTTTGGATCAATGGCACAATTTACTAGGACTGTATCTTATCAACAGAAATTTAGCCCTGTGCAGATGTTATTTTAGTACTATCTAGGCATAGAGAATTCCTGATAGATTGCGCCTACAGTAAAGCAATAGCAGCTGTGTACATTAATTTAAGCATGCTCACCTTAGATCCAGTATTCCGTTGAGCAAGTACATTCCACTAACAGATTCTTCTAACTCCCCCACTCCTATTAAGCCCTTGACAAGCATCTCCAGAATGTTGGGGGACCCTGGAATAATGCGGTTACTATACTGGAGGATTGAGGGGGAAATTAATAAAAATGCTCTCTCTATTCTCATTCAAATATCCAGGCTGTCAAAAAGGTGGCATTTTTTGAGGTTATCGGGAGCCGCCAAGTCCCCACCCCCACCCTGTGGAAAGTGCCAAAATATTAAAAACACAGTAATACAAATAGCTGGAATACCACAAAATCCACCTATTGTTATACATCTGAAAGTTCTAAAAGAACAATGCTGAAATCTCAGTGTATCTTTGTTCTTATCTAAATTCCTATAAGATCCTGTAAGGTGTTTGCTACCGTGTTTCCCCGAAAATAAGATAGGGTCTTATTTTCTTTTGACTCCCGAAATAAGCACTTGGCCTTATTTTCAGGGAGATCTTATTATTTTTGAGGTGCAGGAAAGCGAGTGTGGTCACCTCATGGTGGCTGCTGTGTTGCAATATTTTTGGGGAGGGTTTATTTTCAGGGGAGGGCTTATTTTAGTGCATGCGCTCAAAAGCCCGATTGGGCTTATTATACAGAGAGGTCTTATTTTCGGGAAAACAGGGTAACTTCCTTACATTTTGCATTCTAGCAGCAACCTGCGTTTCCTATCAAATGAATCTAAAAGCAATTTCCAAAGTTGAAACAGTTAACTGAGGAGTCCTAATTAGAACTGTCATTTGTGTAAATAAACCAGTGTAACAGACATTAGAAACAAAGCACATCATAAAAAAAAACAACCTAAAAAAAAATATTCCAAATAACAAGCATTTTCCGTTGAGAACTCCAAATACCTTACCAATATTGACTGAATAGGCAGCATACAAATCTAGCCCTTGCTCTATTCAGGATTGCAAAAAAGGTACGAATATCAACCGGCGTGGTCTGCAGCAGGTTGGCCACTAATAATACTACCTATTCAACAACACTGAACTCGAAGCTGTCTGTGAACCTAATGCAGACATAGTTTTTGCCCACAGGAGCACTCTGCAACATTTATGAAGGCTTTTTCCCCTCATACAACTTTTCCCCATTTTTCACCCTTCCATTTTCAAAAAGAGAGCAAAAAATAATGGTCCCGGCACTGTCCCATGTTAAGGTCTGGAAAAAAAAATGGAATGCATTACCAAAAGAGGCGAGGAAAGGAGAGAAAAGGAACAGCTGACTCCATATAATATTCCTGATCAGGCAGTGCTAGGTCTGCAGGAGGATAGTATTTGAAACCCCTCCCTGCCATAAGTGGCTTTGGGCAGTTAGTGGAAGAACTGCCTTCAAGCCTCAAATTACAAACCTGGTAACGATTACAATTACGCAGGACTACACACACTTTTTCAAGGTCTACTAAAAAGAGCATCAATAAACGGTTACCATGAAAGGTTCCTCCACCCTGCTGTTTTTCTTCTTGATGCTATATATATATATACACATAGAAAGAGAGATATAGATATATCTCTATCAAAGCTGGAATGCTGAACTTGGCTCAGATTTTGGGATACACCTCAAAAGTCTAGCTTTTTTATTATTCCTGTGCCGTTCATAAAAGCAGAGATGGTACAGCCTCTGTGAGAGCCACGATCGTAGTGCAAGGGTTCTTCAGCAGAAGCCATGCTGAACTACCATTACTAGTTAGCAGGCCAAGCCTGGATCAAGATCTATGTGTCTTCATCAGTTTGATCTTTTGTCAGCTCCTGTTCAGACACACTGGACACCTCGTCGTCTGTCTGTTCACCTGAGTGATAGAGCATCAGTGCGTGGGTCTTGTGAGTAATAGTGATGGTGCAAGGGCCTTGTGCCCAAGGTTCCCCATCCACCTGCATTGGCATCTTTGAGTTCTTCAAGATCAACTGAAATGGAAGAAACAAAAGAGAAGTTAAGTAACGGTAGAGGACTGTGCAATGTGAGAACTAAGTCAGTCCAGGAAACTGTTTTCACACAGAATGCTAATAACAATAGCAATTAAGACTTATATACTGCTTCACAGTGCTTTACAGTCCTCTCTAAGCGGTTTAAGAGTCAGCATATTCCCTCCAACAACAATCTGGGTTCTCATTTTACCTACCTTGGAAGTCTGGAGTCAACCTTGAGTCGGTGAGATTTGAACTGCTGGCAATCGGCAGTCAGCCTACAATATGCACTCTAACCACTGCACCATCACAGCTCTATACTAAATATATTTAGTATGCACTTTAGTGCAATGTAATTAATTCTCCCCTATTAATACTCCTCTATTCAAGGGAGTAACCAAACTATATGAACAAATCCCCTTTCCCATGGTCCCTTCAGGTTTGCATATATTTTGTATTTATTATTAGAATTGTATGCCTTTATTACTTTTTAAGTAACTTAAGGCAGTGAACAGACTTAATACTCCTTCCTTCCTTCTCCTATTTTCCCCACAACAGCCCTATGAGGTGAGGTGAGGTGGGGTGAGGTAGGGAGGGAGGGAGGGAGAGGGAGAGAGAGAAGGGGGAGAGAGAGGGGGGAGGAAGGGAGACTTGCTCCAAGTCACTTTTCTTTGTAACCAACAAAGAGAAAGGCAGCAAGGTGGCAGGAGAGGCTTTCCTAAAGCAAAAATCTAGTCTGCAGATTGCTTCCTCTTTGGCATGAAAATGAAAGCTAGAAAACTCATGAGAGCTTATTGAAAAAAGTGGAACAATTTCTAAACTCTTCTGGAGGAAGAAATAAATAGGAGATTTTAAAGATAGAGGATAGAGCTGAATGAGACATTAAAGGATAGAGCTGAATGAGACAACAGTATGCCCTGAACAAGAAACAAGAGAAACAAGCCCTGCCTTTTCCCAACACATTTTCTGTTTCATTCTTGAGCTCCAAATAAAAGATTCAATCCAGAGTATGGAAAACAGCCACAGAGATATGCAACATACCCTTACTGTATGGGCCTGTCCCAGCCGGACAGGATTTGCAAGCTTCACTTGAATTTGTGCACAGTGAAATGAGCCATTGACTCCAACAATTTCCAGCAGTCCATCATCATGCCTGGAGTAGGACAAGGAAAGCTTAGGATCAGTAGACATCCTGGACCCAATTGTCAAAAAGGTTGCCTGATGATGTGAATCACAGCCCTGCCAATAGTAAATAGCAGCTCCCACCCATTCCCAGATTGAGAAGGTATGCTGAGAAACCCAAATGGGTAGGTACGGCCTACGTTTTGCTTCCCAATCCAACTTCTCAAGCCTCTATTTGCAGAAAAGTGTTTGAATGTCAGAAAGAAAAGGAGGTAGAAAATTGAGGTGATGATGTAGATCAGGGCTGTCAAATTCGCGGCCTGTGGGCTGGATGTGTCATGCGCTGGCCATGCACAACCCCCGTTTAGCGAAGGGGGGGAAAGTCACAATACGTCACGGGACACCATTGTGACGATGTGAGTTTGACACTCCTGATCTAGATGTTGTTATCTGGCAAGAATGAGGAAGTGTGAACACCAAGCCAAGAATTGGGGATGGAACAAATTATTCTGTGGGATCCTTGGGACCCTCGAGGCTTGGTTTTTTGTTTTTTTATAGATTTTTCATTACCAAATTAGGTAACTTCATCAGTGCTATCTCTTCTATTGGAACAAATTATTCCTTTTTGTTGTTAATTGTGAAGTCGTGTCTGACCCATGGTGATCCCATGGACAATGTTCCTCCAGGCCTTCCTGTCCTCTACCATTCCCCGGAGTCCATTGAAGCTCACGCCTGCAGCTTCACTGACTCCACCCAGCCATCTCATTCTTTGTCATCCCCTTCTTCTTTTGCCCTCAATCGTTCCCAGCATTAGGCTCTACTCTAGTGAGTCTTTTTAAGTGATTCTTTTTTATGATGGCCAACTACCGTATTTTTCAATATGTAAGGTGCACCTTTTCCTCCCAAAAAGAGGGTGAAAATCTGGGTGCATCTTATACACTGAATAAGGTACTTTTTGCCTCCCAAAACCCCGCCCCATTCACAAAAATGGATGTGCAGAGGGTTTGGGAGGCCTAGAAAGTGCTCCTGGGGGCTGGGGAGGGCAAAAACAAGTGGAAAATGGCTGATTTTTGCTTGTTTCCCCATCCCACCCCCAGGAGCACTCTACAAGCCTCCTAAAGGCTATGCATGCCCTGTTTTTGGCAAAAAGGGGCCCTGTTTCCATGAAAAAAGGGGCGGTTTTTGCTCGTTTTTGCCCCCCCCCCCCGGCCAGAACACTTTGCAGGCCTTTCAAATTCTCTGCATGCTCCTTTTTCACACAAAATGAGGCATGCAGAGGGTTTGGGAGGTCTGCAGAGTGAAAAAACTTTTTTTTTAAATGTACCTCTTCAAAATCTTGGTGCGTACTATACTTCGGTGCATATTATACTCTGAAAAATACGGTAAATGACATGCCCAACTTACCAATAGAAGGAACTGGCATTCTTTTCGTTTATATGACTCTCCTGGGTTAGGGAAAGTCCTAGAATCATCCCACACTACCCTCCATATAGCAAGTAGCTTCAGGAGCTGTGCTTTGAAGCTGCCGGTGTACCGACAGCTGGGGGTGGGGGGCAGGGCTGCAATCAATTAACTGTTGAGGAAGTAGCCGTTTTGGAATTTATTTTTCAAATGGACAGTAAGTTCTGCCTTTCGTTTCTTAAACATTTGCTAAGGACTATTATCTTTATTAAACCAAGAGAGGCTCTCTTTAGCCACAGCCTGTTATTCCTTTTTGAAGATCTGTGCCATTTTGGGGGTATTTGCATTGTTAAGCAACAAGGAAAAAGGCTGCTAAGGCAAGCTAAAATAAAGAAGTATGAAGTATCTTTTTAAAAATACCGAGCTATACAACTATCAGATGATCCTGCTTGGATGACTCACCCCTGGATACAAGAGTCTCCGAACCTTCCCAACTGTATATAATTTATATGCAACTTATTACTAACCTACCTTGCTAGAGGATAAAGTTCATCCCCCATTCCTTCCCATAGTCGACAGCCACCTCCCCAGTAGGCAATATTTAGCACTATGATCCCCTCCAAACTGGGCAAGTCGATCTTCTCTCCATCCAACTCTAGCTTTAAAGATATACAACAGGGTGTTAGTAAATTACACCTGTGAGAATGAATTCAAAAGGTTAGCCATCTGGGGGCAAATCAGAAGGGAACATAAAGGAAGGCGAGCAATCAGTTTGTATGGCCTCTGGGCTCATCCATGATGCTAAGCCAGAGATAAACATGATTTGAGAAACGTGTTCCAATCAAACCACTACCAATTTTGCAAACAAGCAAAATAATCCTAGCTTATTTGGCCTGTTGTTATTTTGCTTTCCCTTGTTTTTTTAAACACTGCTCTTGCATTATAAAGTCTATGAATTGGTCAGGGGCTTAAATGGAGTACAAAACACACTAGGAAACTCCATGTGGCTTAGTCTGTTATGGAAGATCAATTTATTTATTAGACCCATTCATACCTCATGCTAAGCCAGAAACAAACCAATCACATTCTGATTTCATATAAAGGGTGACTCTCCCATGTGATTTAAAATGAATTGATCCAGGGAAGTTTCATGTATATGGTTAAAAAAACACAAATAAGCACAAGTGAGCATCCAATGATTGCTGTCTAGGACAAAAAAAGAATCCTCATTTAAAAAGCTACTAAACATATTTATTGATGCCCATCTGCTCAGAATGCCACTAAAGCCCTTCCATGTACTGTACATTCTTGATTTAATGTATGCCATTTCTGATTCCACCTCTTTATAAATGACAAGCTATTTATCATGTAAATTAAATTTCTAGGGAAGAGAGGAAACACGATTATCTTACCTCAATCTTTTTGTTTAGATCCTTACATTCCTGAACTAAGCAATCTTTGGTTCCATAAAAAAAATACACAGCCTACAAGACAAACAGAGGTGGGATTTTAAAGGAGGAGAAGACTGGACAGATGGCTTATTTACACCCCCCTCCCCCCCATTACAGAACACACCTAGTTTCCAAATGCTTTTGAAGTACACAGAATTATTGCATAGGAATAGTTTGAAGGAGCTAACTACCGTGAACAGATTTTTAAAATTCTAATGCAAAGGGACAGGAAAATCCTCTTTCTTTCTACAAGCTACTCGGTTATATTTTTCACTTTATCCCCACCCAAATCCCTGGCCACCTGAAACAATGCATAGCACCACTAGTGATTCTGCAGGGGAAAAAAACATTTTTTGCAATTTCCTAATTTGGGAGCATCCACATTCCAGTTATCGTATATAAGCTTTATACTACATCTTGATGATTTCCTTCATGGTAGAACTTGTGAACTCTTATCTTCTGATGAGTCAAATTACATTGATAACAACATACAGGTAGTCCTCACTTAATAATCATCATCCCTTGCAACCATAATGTGCAAGGAATACCTGTGTTATGCTCCTGTCAGACTGAGATAAACTAAGAATGTCCTAAATTAGACAGTCATGAAAACCACAGAATCCCATCAAAGAAAATAAATTATGCTTATCTACAAGAAGATTAGATAAGATATATTCTCCAGAAAGTACAGTATTTTAGTGTAACAATCAATACTGAACTAGGACTAGATGATTACTGCTAACTTTCAGCTACTGTATTTTTCGGAGTATAAGACACACCTTTTTCCCTCAAAAAAGAGGGTGAAAATCTAGGTGCATCTTATACACTGAATACAGCATTTTTGGCCTCCTGAAACCCTGCCCCCTTTGCAAAATAGCTGTGCATAGCCTTTAGAAGGCTTGCAGATTGCTCCTGAGTGTTGGGGAGGGCAAAAATGAGCAAAAACGGGCCATTTTTTGCTCATTTTTGCCTCCCTCAGCCCCCAGAAGCACTCCATAAGCCTCCTAAAGGCTATGCATGCCCTTTTTTTTTGACAAAAACAGGCCCGTTTTCATGAAAAACGAGTCTTTTTTGGGAGGTCTGCAGAGTGCAAAAACTTTTTTTTCAATTTGCTTCTTCAAAATCTTGGTGCGTCTTATACTTCGAAAAATGTGGTAGTTACTTCCTCTAAATACTGTACGGTACAGTACAATGTACAATGGGTACAGTTTTACTATGTTTATTTAGCTGATTTAGTTGGATGAATGAGAGGTAAATTCAGGTAATCCTTGAATTACAAGGATTCATTAAGTGACCATTCAATATTATAATGGCACTGAAAAGTGATGTATGACTTTTTCAGAGTTATAACTGTTGAAGCATCCCTGTAATCATGTGATTAAAATCCGGACACTTGGCTCATATTTATGATGGTTGCAGAGTCTCGGGGTCATGTGATTTACCTTTTGCAATCTTCTGACAAGCAAAGTTAATGGAGAAGCCAGATTCACTTAACAACCGTGTTACTAGCTTAACCACTGCAGTGATTCGCATAACAGCTGTGGCAAGAAAGGGCATCATCATGAAACCACTGTCTCGCTTAGCCACAGAAATTTTGAATTCAATTGTGGTTGTAAAAGTTGAAGACTACCTATATCGGAATTCAGAGCTCAGTCAACTCACCTTGTTAATAATCCTGCTAGTAAAAAGAGACGGAGTCTTCTCACGGTGCTCATGAAAGTTTAAAGCCATAAGGGCATCTGGACCTACTGAAAAATAGTTATTCATTGTGAATACCTGCAAAGAGGAGGGGGGAAGAGAGGGAGAGAGAGGGAGAAGGAGAGAGGGTGGGATTATTAACAAGGT